TGTGTCACATTCAGTTTTACATGAAACTGTTTTATATGTGGTATGTTTGTCGACGTACGGACAAGAAGGAGGGTGATCTCGTTGCCCGAAATGTTCAGTCCACATTTTAATGAACGTTTCTGACGCCTGTGTATTACAGTAAACAAGCTTACGTGCGCATTAACCTTCGTATTGGTTTTTGAAAGCACAGAGTTTCAGAAACAGAATCTTTTTGTTTCTTTCCGCAAGTATAGAGAAGAGAGGATGGGAAATATTCCTAAATTTTTTAGGATGATTATGATCATTGAATCGGAAGAAATTGGAAATGAAGTCATTGCATGAGTTTACTGGGGTTCCTGAGGAGAGCCATGAAAACCTGTGAGAGTTCTTTGTTTTTTGGCCATGATTCGTACCCTACATCTCTCGAATATCGATCATAATGCTTTGCCGACAAGGAATGTTTGTTTCAAGTACGCCTACTGTTTCGTCCAGAGACAGAGCTGGAGGAAACGGACTGCCTAGTGCTAGTCCGTTGGTTTCGGTGGTCTAATTTCAGACCCGACTAATAGGCGTCAGTTGTTTTCTGCGTCAAACTAATTGCGCAAGGTGAATTCACTACTTTAGACATTATACCGTTTTTGTAGGGAATCTTCTGTAAGCTAATAACTGTTGCTTTCCTTGCTGTGCTGGTCAAGAAATCCGTGCTCTTATGAAACCTAAAGTTTGTTATTGTATTCAAGAATTTCGATCGGCGGATCGTGTCCCAAGCTAGTTAAATCCAATCCATGTCTGTTACCATATTGCTCCAATATCGATTCTTATACGATCACCCCGTCTACGTTTAGATCTCTTCCCTTGTGGTTTTTCGATAAAAGTTTCGTATGAATTGATGATGTTCTCCATGCTTTCCTCCTACCCATTCTAATGTATCCTTGATTTAATCATAATATTATTAGTTGAGTTCAAATTACGAAGTTTCTAATTCTTAATTTAATGTTTTCCGAACACCTCATTGAACATTCTTCACAGAGAATGAGTCGAAGTTTCGTGCTCAAGTAAAACAAGAGTCTTATGTGTAACAGTTTTGTATATTTCAACATGTACTTTTGCCCGCTGTAAAATCTCCATTTCCCGTGATAGCATTTAATATAATTTAACTCTCATAGTTTACTTGCGTGTTATATGAAATTTTTAGTTTTATCAGCTGGTTGTGAAGAGTTCAGATATTGCAAACACACGCAGTAAATTATTGTCACAGCATAACCCAGTAACTTCAGTTTATATTTGCTTTCAGATAAATTAAGAGTATGCGCCCGGCCTTAATGTGCGTTTCGCTTGCGTGTCGATCAAACACAGACATTGTTTTCTCTCGTGGTTGAAACATGGTTTCGTTGAAAACTAAAATGACATTGTCTGCTACACAACACACGTGGAAAATATTTGTCGACTAAGTACTCTCTTTCACTCATGTTGCTGCAAAATGTTGTAAGCAATAAGGTAGTAACTTGATTTGCGGGTACTACATTCCTGTCTTTTGCAGCCTTGCTTTCACCCTGATTTAAGTCGATGAGAGCTGTTGGACGAGCTGAAGGCCTATGAAAGTTCCGTTCGATGTCATTTACAAACAAGAAAGTAGCATTCATTACTGATGTGAATGTTGAATCTTAAAGTTCCTGTCCAGGCCCGAGTTTCAACCCCGTGTATCGGTAAAAAGGTAGTTTAAACATATCTGGAGTTGTGGCCAGGTATTTGGACTCTGTACCATCTTCACGGCCTGAAGATGGAGGCACTATGTTTCTCCAAAACATCGGTATATACCTGCAGTCCATAGGCGCTTCAGCCCAGATGATTGAGACGATGGTCTCCGAAACGTTTGATTGTAACTCCGTGCCTATATGGCTGTAGGCCCGATAGAGGTCGGCTGTCTTCTGGGTTGTAGCGCCTTGTAGTCTGGTGGACGTTTCAGAGGTCGTTGCTGCAAGGACCTCTGAGATTTTGGTAAACTTATACCAGACTACACGGCGCTGCAAGCCAGAAGACAATCTTCGTACTCACCGCCGTGAAAACTTCAAATCCTACTTTCCTGCATTCAGTTTGCTGTGAAAGCTGCAAATCTTAACATTATTTACCTGAGCACATGTGGGCACCACGTGCTACATACGTTGGTGTCGCGAGTGGTTAGAATTTCCTCATTCTGGAGGTCCTGGGCTCAAATCATGGCCCGGACCTACGATAAATATCGTTGATTCATGTTCCTCTTAAAATATGGAAGTCATTGGCTGGACGTTAGTATGAAGGAACTTTTGTGGCCTACTTGTGAAGTTCTGTCCGCTGGATCAGTAGTTGTTGTCACGTACCAACTCGTTCTATTTATAAGCCGTGTATTTGTAAGATGTGAATCTTATACGAAGTCTGACTGTACTTTTGTTGTTGATTCTTTATCTCGATCACTGATCACTGCTCGCGTAATATCTGAGAGCTGTAGTACAAACCCGGTCTAATTATGTAACATATGAAAACATCAGTAATAGAAATTTCTGAAAGATCTGATTGTATAAGAAAACTCGGTAAGTTGTTTGTATGCACGTAAACACGCCCGTCTACACAGCGTATACAGTATTTCCCAGTTTGATATGCTTGTTATAGTGATATATTTATAAGTTCGATTTTATAAAAAAAAAGACAAATATTTGATTTATATCTATAGTTTTATTACAGTTTCTCTTTTTTGTATAAGCTATGAATATTCAGTCTGCCTTGTGAATTGTAACTAATGTAATTCCAGTCTTTCAGACGCAAATGAACTGTTTCTTGGAAAGTCGAGTCTGTTTTACAGCGATATTTTACTTGTTGGGTAAGACAGTCAGTGTACAGTTTTACATTTAACCTGGTTTTGTTATCGCAGAAGCGTAGTTGTCCGTGTGGCTTTGGTAAATTATGAAAAAGGTTTCGAATTTTTAATTATGACGGTTACCAATGTCCGCCGCGTATCGGAACAGTTTTTTTTTTACTCATATCCATGAAGTCAGCTTTAGCATTTGATTATTCAGTCACTCTCATATATCTCGAAAACAGCAGGTCGTGTGTATGAAATACGAATAACTTAAATAAAATAAATTATAACTTATTTGGTAACAAACTTTTCAATATTCCGAAAGTATTATATCCAGGGTTATGTATGAAGTGTTAGTCCAGTTTAGTTTATATATTTTTAATAAATACTTTCCATAAAAAACTGCTCTTCTTTTTTCTTTACGTGTAGAAGTGTCGAGTCTCTTGGTGTCAGTCTCCAAATGCGCCACATAAAAAGTAATGTTAATTTTTTGTTGATTTTTTTTAAATTCTGGTCTGAATTTAATTTCTTGGAATGTAATTATTCAGGAGTGAAACCTTTATATTTTCCGTCATCGTAGGTGAAGTAAAACTCCATCACGTAAATATATAATAATGCCTTAAATAGGTCACTACGACTTCCTTCTCTTTCCAGTTCATTATTTCTTTTCGTACTCCATACATGATAAATACTACGGACCCACTGGCGCGACTAGCCGCGTGCGGCGTGTCGCGCCAGTGGGCCCCTAGACCTTGAGTAGACGATGTTTTTTTTCCTGATGTATAAGAGTACAAAGTATGGTTTTCCTTGCCAGTCGTGCTTTCTTGTGTTTGGTTATTTAACTATTGTGCATCAACCGCAAAGGTTGTGTGGCCTTGTGCCGCACATAATTGTGTGGTAGGGAAACGTGATAGTAAATTGTCATCCCGGAAATGAACTAGTGGAACTAAGGAAAGTCATAAAAAAACTCCACGACAGTGTCCTTGTAGAAGTTGCTGTGTTTTAATCCCGTTGTGGTACGCGATGGGTCGTTTGACTGTGAAGCTGCTTTTTGTTTGTTCAGACTACCTGGGCCTCGTGTATTTCCAGCTGTGAAGCAGTAATAAACTCTGATCAGATGGAAATGAGTTGACGTAACACCATTATTAGACTTTACCAAGAATGAAAAATGTTAAGGGCTCTTGTTGTAAGTGCTTCATTTCATTGCGACTTCCGTCAAACTGTGAGATAATTTAGTGGAAAAATAAATGTCAAGTTGTTCGCGTTTCACACAGGTGTCAGGTAAAGTGGGGAAATATTTTAACAGGAGACAGTTTTGCAACCACAATTAATAGAAATTGGGTCTACTGAAAGATTTTTGGAAACATGCATTATAGTTCGCAAATTTATGAAGTGTGGTAACCGGATATTACTGCCTTCCTATTTCTTCGTATGAGACGTTGGCTTGAAAGTGCAACTATTAACGTCAGCCATGTGTGTTTGTTGGTTGTTCAGTTTGTCTGAGCGTGTATATAATTGGTACGAGACCTTGGGGTTTAATCCCAACCTAGAAGATAGCTTTACGCACTCCTGAACGTAGATATTTTAAAACTATTAAAATTAGTGAAGTTGAAGGAGCCAGCCAAAATTAACAACAGATCAGGAAACATCAGAAGTATTCCTTCCGTGTGTTATAAGTTCTCATCCTTCTTGGATGTATGTCTGTCTGCCTCTCTCTCTCTCTCTCTCTCTCTGCCTCTGTCTCTCTCTGTGTGCCTGCGTGCGTTTGCGCGCGCGCCCAGTTTCATATTGAAGTCCTACAAGTTTCAAGGAGTGCAAATGTACCAATAAATAAGTCTCGTTTGGTAAACATCGAGACACAGACCTACGGTAGAATTTTGTGATGTCCTTGAGAGAGAGCGTTGACACTCCAGTTTTGATGTGTGTAGTAAATAAGCGTCCAGTTTCCCTTGCAGTAAAACGTGTATAAGAAAGAGGGTTTAAAAATGCTGTTTAGTTTTACTTAATAATGGATTACCACAATTGTTGTATCTTCCCTCTGGGCTGTAAAATTTCTGAATAACTTGCACATTGTTCAGTATATGCACTGAATTCGTCGCTTTGTCGGAAATGATGTATTCGGATTCTGATTTTGAGTGAGAATATTTTGTTTTTCTTGTATATTAGAATTAATTTATTTTTTCCAGATATGGACTGTCCCTTGCCACCAGAAGATGACTTTCTGCAGCAACTGTCAAATGATCTTGAGGTATAGTCTTTATATTCGTAAATGTAATGTGCAAATATACATTTTCTTATAGGAATTAATGGCACACCAGTTGCAAAACATTGATCTAGAGTGATGCAGTGTTACAAAATATATTCAGGCAATGGGTTGGGAACCATTGCCTTAAAACGTATTATGACTTATTTGTACCCAAATAGGGAAGCATATGAAAATGGCGTGAGTACTTTTATGTGCAAGGCCTGTAAGTAAATTTTTGGATCTGTTATGGATCTGAATTATGCCACAGTATAATGGCCCCCACTCTTATTTTAATAATATTAAATATAAAATATAAAGTATGAAAGTTAGAAACAAGTAAATTTAAATGATTAATATTGTGTGTGCGTGCACATGTGTGTGTATGTTATGTGAGTGATGTGTTATGTATTGTATCTTATCTCTTCTTTTTTTCCATATTTGTCTTAAATTTACCTTAGTTTTCTTAAAGACGAAAGTATTTATCTTTAACATACTGATAAAGTTTATGAGTTAATCACACTTGGCTGTTTTAAGTTATAGGTACAAGTCTATTATCTTACCTCTTGTTTAATTTCATTATCTCGATCTTAATTAAATAAAATTAAGATATTTATTTTGTAAGCATGTGTGTGAAGTGTGCTGATTCGTATAATAACGAGAACATTTAGTTTTCTGCCGTATAAAATGTAGTTTAAATTAAATGGGAAATGTGAAGGTAGTCTCGTTGTAATTGACCAACGTTTGAAAGGTGTTTAATGCCTACAACATCAGGACTTCATGCTGGAAGGGGTAAGTACCTCTGAAATATTGGTCAGTTTCAGCAAGACTGTTGTGGGAATCTTAAATCTCACACGGTTGCAAATGTGTTGGTAAATTGTTTTTAAGAACAGTGATTTAACTTAGTTGTGGATGGCAGATAGTTAGTACGTTAGTAATAGCGGTGACAGTGAGGATGGGGTGGTGATTGCAGCAGTAGGAGTTTCATTAGTGGTAACAGCATCAACAATTATGGTGGTCTATGTGGTGGTAGTGGTAGTACAGGGATGCACTGACATTGTCATTGTTACTAAAGTAGATATGTACATTTCTTATACGTCCTCTTTGCTTTACCTTTACCCGCAGACAAGCAGGTTATCAAATAGAATTCACAGATTGTGTGCCCTATCCCCCCATATCTGTTATAATTTGTGATCCATTTAACAGTAATGTGATGACTGATTTATGCGCGTTTCAGATTCCGATGTTGTTGGATGACTCTTCTCAGCAAATGTTAAATGACTCGACTGATGATCTAATGCAAGACGGCTCATTACATAATGACTTGTTGGATCCATACCCTAGTCTGGACGAGCTGGGAGATGTGGAAGCCATGCATTGGGGTCCTGAAGCATTTCCAAATCTTGCTCCTTTGCCAGATGACCCTGGTGTGTTAAGACAATTTTTTATATGGGGTCATGAAGGAGTATAATAAATAACATAGCCTGTGTAACAAATTAATATTATTTTCATATGCAATACAAGTAAAAATGTTTAATCTGTTCTGATAAGAATTGTGCAGAATGATATTTTTTAAACCATGACACATTCCATTTATTGGCTTATTTCAATGTTGCTGTCTTCTCTTGTAAATATAGTACCAGACCTCCCGTATCAAGAAAGCCTGCAACCTAATGCTTTTCAGACTTTAGGATTTTGGATGATTATGCAGAGGAATTTTAAAACAGTCAAAATAAATAATAAAAATTATATGCTGAAGTATGCTTTATCTACAGTTCACAATTTTTTTCATGACAAATAGAAAAACCTCAAAAATGTTGGTTGGTATATCTTCAGTCTAAAAAATTTATAAAAGCTGTAAACTTATGCTATATGCTGATTAGACAAGTTTAAACAAGAAACCTGCCTTCTACTAGTGGTAAGACCGTTAACAGTGGTCCCACTCACACATGGTGGTGAGTCAAAAGAACTATGATGATGAGCATAGGCAACTACCACCATAAAAATCACCAGGAGAAATGACAAATTTTAGGTCCTTCAGGATTTTGCAATGGCAGATATGGGGTCTGACACTATATTTACACTATTTAACATATTGTACTTAAAACTCTGTGTGATTATTTATTTATTTTACTCCAACATGGTTTTGTATGTAAATATTAACTATTCTTATATTTGTTGTTTTAAGTTACCTGACTTTATATAAAATATATATATATATATATATGCATTTAAAGTGTTCACGTGTGGCAGAATTTAAATGAACGTATCCAGATGTAATCTTGCAATCGAATATTTCTGAAAGGAAAATAATTTAACATATTTGATCGGTATCGTCCCGCGCCGTAGCCGTGCAGTCTGAGGCATCATGCTTCGGACCAGTGGTACGGAATGCGTGCTGGTTCGAGTCTCGGGGAAAGAAACTTCTCATGAGATTTTCGACCGGTGTATGTGACCGGTGCCAACCCAGCATCGTGAGGAAATTGGGGAGCTACAATGAGTAGCGTAATCCGGTCATGAAAGCTAGCAATGGCTGGGGGTTTCTCGTGCTGACCACACGTCACCCTATATCTGGTTGAATGATCGTTCACCTCTGCTTAGGAATGTGAACGTGAGGCCAGCAGCCAGCTAGTCGGCTTTGGCTCTCAGAGGGCTGTTACGCCACAGATTATTATTATTATTTGATAGGTGTCAGTTATTAATACTTAATTTATGCTGAGCCAATATATACTGTATTTTGTTTTATCTGCTCATTTTGAATTGATATCTAAATGTAATTTGAAAATTTTATAGAAGAATTATGCTTTATTTGAAATAATACTTTTTAATACTACAGTAGTACCTTCATAATATTTGACTTCAGTTTGAAGGTGGCCGTCGTGTGGATTGTAGCACTGTGTTGTCTGGTAGATGTATACAAACATTTTAGAGGTCCTTGCTGCCTCCATCATCAGAGCCATCTTTGTTCTCACTACTATAAGAATCTCAAATTCTACTCAGCTTCATTTCTTTTCAGAACTCTCCAGGGCTGTGGTCATCATGAATGCCCTGAATAAATTTCTGCAGTGTGAAACTCAATTAAAAATTATGCGTACAAATTAATTACTGTAATTAACAGTAAATGTTTATTTAACACAGGTAAAATGAATTAAAGAGGTGTTAAAATACTTGTGTCAGTAGTTGAATGACTGAACAATGCCCTGAAATATGTGAACATCCTGAGACTAATATTGTTTTTATATTAACAGGTGACCCAAACAATTTTGAAGACAGCATAATCAGAACTAGCCTAGCGTGAGGTATAAATTAATATAACAGTGGGGCTTGTAAAGTGATAGCAGTTCTTTTACCACTGGGAGCATTGCACAGGTATCTTAAAACATTTATTTACTGTTTGTTTCAGACTGTGAAATCAAGGATGAAATAAAGATTGAACCAGGATCACCATTGGCTCTCCTACCACCCTCTCCATCCCCTTCAAGTTCTTCTAGCTCAGATGCATGGACAGGAGGGGAGTCATTATCAGAGGTGAAGGTGAATATTCAGAAAGGGACAGACAATATTTAATTTCCAGTGTTCATATCGTGATGAATTTATTCTGTATTTTTTTTTTCTTATCATGTAGTAACTACGCATCATTCCATTAAAGCAAAAATGTTTCAAGTTCAGTTTATTCTTGTGTAATGGCATTCATGTATTGTGATAATTCAATATTTTTGTCTACATATGCCATTACTTGACCAGTGGTCCCCAACGCGGGCGCCATGGCGCCTGCCAAGGCTTTTTCTGGGTGCCCGCGTTACGGAAAGAGGTTATACTGAATAATGAAGGCCGTTCAACCATGAACATTATAAAATTGAAGCTCAGATCTCGACTTACTAATGCCCATCTTGACGATTGTTTCCGAGCAGCGATATCATCCTGCACTCCCAAATTTGAAAAACTGGCCGATGAAATGCAGTGCCAAACATCACACTAACTTCCCACTTCAGTAATACTAATTGTACTTTTGAAAGTACGTATTTTTGATTGCATGGTTTCTTGTATCATTAAACGTTGTGTTGTTTTGTGTATTATTTGGTGTTCATATCTTATTTGTCCAGAGAAAGGAAAATTTGGCTTTGTTAATTGGTTGGTGCCCACCACGATCTCATAAACTCTCAGATGTGCCCGTAGGCACAAAAAGGTTGGGGACCACTGATCTAAAGGGTTAGCAGCTTCCTCGTTTTCTGGAACCATTTTCAAGAAAGAAATGACATGTTTGAGTAGGGACACAAAGTGTAAATAGGGGTATTCCTACAGTGGAAACCATGTGCAAGTGACTGTTGTTATACTTGCTTATGTTAATCGTGTTTGGATATCCACTTTTATTTCAGGAGCATAAGTATTTTATGTGTGGCCTCAGTAGAAGCTGCTGCACACCCCCACTAAGTTGTATGCAGTTGCACTTACTCACCTAACCATTTTTTCTCTGGTGACTACAAATTAAGGCTTGTTATGGTATATCACCCAGAATAAATACCGAAGCCCGCCATTCAACACAATTCTGAGACATTTCCATCTACCTCTTATCCTCAAACCTATCACCTTAAGTTAAATCTTGTCTTATGTCCTTTGAATGTTTCATAGGTTCTTCCAAAGAATGCATCCATTGTCAGACCTATCAAAAAATTACATAACAGAACGTTTTGCAGAAAAAAAGTTACTCTGTGCCAAACCCCTAGGCTGGTGGGCCACTTATTGTGTGCTGTCTGTGACTGCTTATGCATTATATTCACAGCTGCACTTAATATCTAAAAGCTGTTTCTTTCATTAGGAATGCAAAAATATTTTGGCCCACTTAATATGGCACTTAGGCACTCTTACATATCTCAAAGGCGAAACACCGTTGGGCTGGACACGTAGTCAGGCGGAAGGACAACAGATGGCGCACGAGGGTAACGGAATGGTACCTGCGTGACAAGAAGAGACCGCTTGGTCGACTGCCCACTCGCTGTCCGCAATATACGGCATCAAGGATGCACGAGGTCGCACAAGAGTCCACTGGTCCACCAGAGCACAAGATAGAGAAGAATGGAGAGAGAGAGAGAGAGGAAAAATAAAAAAACTTAATATGGGCATTGAAGAAAAGATAATATAGATTTATAAACTTTAGAAATATCTTAATGCAATGAAATGGTGTGTTCCCAGTTTGTGTTGGAAACACCGCCTATCTCACCACCACAACTGAGCGATGGGAGTCCTCCTGGCTCTCCGTACCCAAACAACAAGTCTGGCGACAAACATCAGGACTCCATTGTAATGATGTCTCCAGTTAAAATTGTGCCTGTAACCAAAAATGGTAAGTGTAGATGGTGAACACTATTTCCTAACACCTGATTATAGTGAAAAAACTTCTAATATTTCATTTCCACACGTTCTTCCCAGAAACACAAAATCTCTGTAAAACCATTGAGATAGGATTATGATTGTCACTGAACTTCCGTGCTTTAAAACCAAGTTTTGATCTTTGCTATTCTAATGATAAGAAACATTATGGTTGCACTTGCACTATTTATTGTGTTTCATCCAAAATACATATATAATTCTCTTTACACAAACTTTGTGACTAATATGTCAATATGGCTTTATGTCTCAAAACCACAAACATTCTTAAATATTTGTGGACTAGCTCACAACACTATATTATTACCATCTAGCAATGCATGCTACGTCACAGCCCACCTCAGTCTGCACTTTTCTGCTGCACCTAAAACATTTTGTGAAGTGCGACATTTGAAGGTAACCTTTTTTGTGCTTTACACACACCCTACATTATAAAAGAAAGGTACAATATGTTAGCAGTGTAAAATAAATTGTAAAAGCTGTGAAGAGAGACAGGAATAATATGTAATTCAGTAAAATAAAAAATACATATACAGTGCAAGTCTAAATGATGTTCCCGATTTGAAACATGTTACTCATGTTTAATGAAATTCAGATGCACAAAATTGGTACCGATGGAAAGAGAAACTCTCCAAGTTTATGTTGGTATACTTCGCGGCCGCATAGTAACACTGTTTGCCGCCAGGTGCGATATGAGAGAAAATGGCTGCCATTGAAGACAGGGGAGCCTTTTGTGTCCTGGATTTCCACGTTCACCGGACCTGACGCCCTGTGATTTTTTTCTGTGGGGGTTCGTCAAAGATAGAGTATTCGTGCCACCCTTACCACAGACCTTGCTTGATCTGCGAGCGCGTATCACAGCAGCCATTGCAGCAATCGATCATGATATGCTGCAACGTGTCTGGGAGGAACTCTACTACAGGCTGGATGTGTGCCGAGTTACCAAGGGGGTTAACATTGAACACCTGTGATGTATTGAAACAAAACTTGGAGCGTTTCTCTTTCCATCGGTATCAATTTTGTGCATCTGAATTTCATTAAACGTGAGTAGCATGTCTTTCAAATCGGGAACATCATTTAGACTGGCCCTGTATTTATCAGATCTCTTAGCCAAGTTGAAAAAAAAATTTATTCACAGACGCAGGAGTATGCCTATAATTTGCAAAACATTTCATTATTATTTTCCTGATGCTTGAGGCATTTCTGATCCTTGAATAAATAAAGTAAAATGGAACATTTGATTGATTGTTATGCCTGAAGTATATGAAAGCAGTTGGTCCCTGGTCAGTGTATAAATATGTCTACATCAGAAGTTTCTCCAGAAGTTTGACTTATTGACCACTTAAACTTGTTTTGCATTCACACAGCTATACTCACCTGATGATGTAAGCTTGTCTTTCCGTATAATAAATAAAGCACCAATGAAATTGTAACATTCATTAATCTTTATTGTGGGGCTGCTGGTAGTATGTTTCATGTGTAAGCTGTGATGCACAGTGGATAAAAGTTAAGTTTATTGTTTTCCATAATAAATAATTTGACTGCCCAACAAAGTATTTTTAATTTGGAATTGAAAACTGGTTAACTGATGCAACTAACACATGAAATCTGATGTGAGGTTATAAATATATTCACAGCTTTTCTATAAATAATTTTTGTTTACCAGTTAGGTGGTAGAAAGAACTTTTGATATTATATTTTCAAAAGAACTGGGAAATGTAGTAAGCCCTCAATTTAAGAGGAAGGAATGTGTGGACTTACTCAGTTTTAATGGATAAAGCCTGTTAAAATCAGAAATGTCCCCTTCTGCCCATTGGATTTTTATGCTTAATTATTTCTTTACATTGCTAACCTGTTTAATGGTGTCCCTATTGGAAATTATGGTCTACAGAATCCAGAAACATCTGTGCAATTTAATGGTCAGTTATTTCCAGACACCCCTTCCACACAGTCCATTAAATCAAGAATTTGCTTATTTAAATTACTGTCCTTTTCTATTCTCACTCAGTATTTCAAAAGGCCACTTTCCAAGATGTATCCACACCAACATTGTTTTGTTGTAATCTCTCATATTCAACTATTCTAACAGTACAAAGTGAACTGTGTGAAGTGATTTTCAATTCAATTTCTGCAGGTATTAAGACAGGTGGAGGCACAAAAATTTTGATAACTCAGCAGGCAGTAAATTCAACAAAAAGTATAAAGATCCAGCCAAAACCTGAACCAGGAGCAAACTCAGCACTTCCTGTTGTATCTGTCCCAAAAATAAATAAAGGTAAGTCTAGCAAAGGTTAAAAACATAATTTTAATTTACCAAGGTGTGCAGTGTAAAAATTTTGTGTCTTGTTTGGTAGAAAAGAGCTGTAGTAAACAAAACGATTTTGGTCACTGAAGAGTAATAATATATAATGTAATAAAATCAAATAAGGGATATTGTAATTGAATGGAGATCGGTATTGAATATGGTGGTTTGTTTTATTACCTAGGACCAGTGACTAGGAGCTATTAAATCTACAGTATGAGGTGCTGCTCAAAAGTTCAGGGAATTTGTCCATAAAAAAAATTGCCTATCATAACTCCTAGTTTCCACCGTCTCCTTCGAAGTAGTCCCCTTGGGCATGGATACAGCGATCCCAGCGTTTTTCCCATGATTCCATGCATCCCTGGAAGTCTTCAAGTTTGAGTGTTTTAAGCACCTCCTGCGATTCTGCCTGGATCTCCTCAGTCGTGTCAAAACGACAGCCTTTCAATCAAAATTTCATTTTGGGGAACAGGAAAAAGTCGCAGGGGGCGAGGTCAGGCGAATAGGGTGGGTGGGGAATCACTGTCGTGTTTTTGGAAGCCAAGAACTGCCGAACAACGAGCGATGTGTGGGCGGGCGTGTTGTCGTGGCAGAGAACCCAGCTGTTGTTCTCCCACTTTTCCAGACGTTTGCACCTAATGCTCTCCACAACCAGAATTCAAATTCCCCAAACTTTTGGGTAGCATCTCGTATGAGTGTACAGCAGTGCAGTATTTAGAGGGACTTTTTTCATTTTAATCATTGAATTCTTATTCAATAAATCATTTATTTTCATCAGAGTCAAGGACAATAGTATTGACAGCACAAGACTTTGCAGCTTTAGCAAGACAGGTAAAAAGTCCATCAAATGGTATAAACAAGGGTCCTCCAACGGTAAGGATACAAGCTGTACCACCAAAACAGTCGCAGCTTCAGACAGAAACACTGGCTAATGTGCAGACCCAGTCAAAACTGACTACAGCTTCTGTCACAATACCTGTACAGCAGCCAGCAGTTAACAACACTGTACCTATTTTGAAGAAGCCTATCACCACA